TAAGTGGCCCCCTTAAGGATTGAATTTATAATCCTGGGTTTAGCAGGCCAATGCTCAAACCACTGAGCTATCCCTCCCCCCTTTAGTAGGGACTACAATAGCTTCACACTATCAGCATCTGGCCAGGGGGATTACAACATTTTCTCTCTGATGCAGACCCTGTTACAGAACAATTCAATATGGAAACTGAAGCTGGTGCAAAGTGCAGCAGCCTGCTTTCTTAAATGGTATATTTCATTAAGAGCTAGGGGACCTGTATTGGTGCTTACTGGTTTTCAGGTGGACTTTAAGCTGTTGGTTTTACCTATAAAACCCTCAGTGGCTTTGGGCCTGCCTATTTGAAAAATCACCATAAAGAACGTCTCTGAAATAAATTTAGATTATTTCTGATGCTTAAAATGTGGCAAATATTTTACAGAGGTGATTATCTGGGTAAGGGGATGTTGGTGTGTTTATGCATATAGGGCTAGCTCTTTACTTAGGCAAATAGGAAATGAAGTCAGTGGGAGTTTTGCCTGCCAAAGGCAGGCTTATTCAGGCCACGCTATGGTAAAGTCAGTTGGTTCTTTGAAACACATAATGTGTAATTACTCCTGACATTAAATTGTATTATTGCTTGTCATTGCCTGTTCTTGTGTGTTCTAGTAGAATGTGTTTTATAGTATACTTCAGAAAGAGAATCTGCTACAGAATAAATATATATTATGGGTATCCAGGGAGCTAGCAGTCTTGCAAAACAGAGCTCTTTAGTCCAGGAGTTGTTTGCTTTTCTGGGTTGCATCTCACTCAGAAATGTTAAGAAGCTGTGAAGTGACATAAATTAATTAGCAAGATTAGATTATAACAGCTTCATGAGATACTTAATGTGTGTGTCTATTTAAAAGTGCATTTAACCTTTTGACCAAAATCCTTGGTTAATCCACTGTAATTGGAAACAGATATGCTTGGGTAACATGTTTTAAAGTTTTGGTGAGACATAAATTCAAATCTCATCATTAGCATTTTGAAAGCTTTAATAGGCGGGCGGGGATGGGGGGTGCTTATGTTTGTGATTGTGATTATGTTACTCTGTGACAATACAGAGTTGAAGAGTAGGGTCTGCTGTGTGAGGGCCTTGCAGATTCTGAAACTATTTAGGGTACTGAAAATTGTTTTCCTGCGGTCAGGGTGCGGCAGTGACAAAACACTGCCCTTTTTAGCTGTTGCTGGACATGCACAGATACACTGGCCAGTAAAATCTCGCTAATCTGCTCTTCTACAACCATATACTTACCCAAGAGAAGTTCTCAGCTTTGCAGTTTACTGCACTTCAGAGAGGTGAGACCTTACTTGTGAAGAGGGAGGGGAATACAGGTGCAGTCATACTCTCCATGGGATGGTAGGGAGGACAACATATCCCTTTTCTATCTCTATCCCCCAGCACTTAATACCCTGAAACAGGCTTAAGGCCCTCACTGTTTCTCCTGGTGCTCCTTCCAGCTGCTTCTGCATAGGGGCAAGGCCAGGCTATTTATGCTCTTGTAGCTTGCTGAACCACCATGGGGATAAGGAGGAGACCTTGCTGGAACCTGCAGGATTGAAATGAGTAGGTGAAATGGAAGAAGCCTGTAGAAAAGCTCCCCCTCTCCCTTCCTCTTCAGCAGCGGCTTGGAGATCCATTGCCTGTGCACTCCTGCAGCACCAAGCCCCGCTATAGAATCCAGTAAAGATGCTCTTATTTCTGTCTTCAGTTGTCGTGCATTGCCCCCCATCTTTGCCCTATGCCACTGCTCGTTGGAAGGCACAGGGCAGATCTGGGAGAGACTCTCCTCCTCAGCAGTAAGGCCATAACCTCCATTTTCACATTCTCCTGCAGGGGCTTTTAGTGCTGGAGCAGCACACATGCATTTGTTCTCTTATAAATGCTGCTGCCTATGAGGAGAGGAATAAGATGGCACATGTTAAAGCTGTGCACTCTCCATGCTACTGTAATCCTGCAGCTACTAGACGGGTTCTTCTCTATTCCTGTGGCAGCCCCAGAAGAGCTACGCGAGCCCTGGAAGCCCTTACACCATGCACCAGTTGGAGGGGAAGAGCACCAGCACCAAATAAGTGCCCTTACTCTTGTTTCAGGCTGTTCTTGTGTGCGGGGGT